CACGCACACGAGACTCTCTCTCTCTCTCTCTCTCTCTCTCTGTATATATATATATAATATCTATCTCTATCTCTCCCTCTGTTTCTTTTGCTCTTTGGCTTACTCTTGCAGTCTCTCAGTCTGTCTTTGTCGAATGTTCGGAGGTGGTCGGAGGTAGTCGGAGGCGGTGACGGTGGTGGCGGTGGTGGTGGTGGTGGTAATGGTGATGGCGGTAGTGGTGGTGGTGTTGATGGCGGTGGCGGTGGCAGCGGCGGCGTTGGCGGGGGCGGCAGTTGGGGTGGGAACGGCGGTCCCGCAGTTTCATTCAGCCCGCCGTGGAAAGCGCCCGCAACCTGGTGATAATGTCACGGCGGCATGGCATGTGAAGCGCGAGGACGCCTGGCGCCGTGGCCCGCATGAGATGACGAGCGAAGTACGAACACGGGCTGCTACCACCGGCGCGCTCTTGCTGCCGCTGATGATTGCGCTGCTACGCGCGCGCCCCGCCACCGGTGAGTGAGTCGTCGTCTGGTATCTTTCAGTCGAAGCACCCGTTCGTCCTTGCGCCGATTTAAGGGCAAAGAAGGGAGCCTCGCTTTCCCGGCGATACCGCGTGCGCGTGACTGCTCTCTGCCTCTCTCTCTCTCTCTCTCTCTCTCTCTCTCTCTCTTTATCAGTCTTATTTCAAGTATCGAGCAATCGCTGCCGATCGTCCCGTACTCGACTCGACACTCGCTCTTACCAAAGGCCGTCTGCATGCACTGCTGATCGGTTGCGTTCGTTCGTGCGTCGAATAGGTTGCGCCCAAATTGCAGCCCAATTTTGCTCTTCACCTCCCTCTCTTTCTCTCTCTCTCTCTCTCTCTCTCTCTCTCTCTCTATCTCTGTGTTTCTTAGTCTTCTTACCCTCACTCCCTCTTTCTAATCGTTAGGGTCCGAAAGAAAGAAAAGCAGAACAATACTAGTTCAATAAATGGCATTATTATTATGAAAGTCTTATCTGTTGACACCCGGATACACGGTATCAGTGTGTTAAGCGTTTCGGCGATTGCTGATAATAGGAATGGGCAGCGTGGCACACAGCTGATTGACGAATTGAACCGCAACAGGAAGGGACACCGACGTCGCTGCGCATCCACGTTATAGTCGTGGAAATGTTGGGAATCGTGCACATTTATTTGCATTCCCAGGTCTGTCCGTTAGTTATGCATACACGGATGTAACCAACGAGTACTCGGCCTGTCAGCTATGTTTTCTTTTCCTCTTCTTATCTTCTCACTCACTCACACACTCCATCTCTCTCTCTCTCTCTCTCTCTCTCTTAGTCATGAAACTATTCAGCGAGCTCGACTCGATGACAACACGATGTACCGGCAGGAATACGCCGCAATGTAACAAGCGATTCCTTTCCAAGATAGGACAATGGTCAACTACGTATGACGAAGGGGGAGGGAGGATGAATGAGAAATAGGGAAAAACGAAGGATAAGGGTCAAGCGAGGAGAGCTGTATTTTCTCGTCCACCCCGGAGCGTGGATCTGCTTGCTTCTTACTTACTGTGCCCACTCCCCTTCTTCTTTTTCTCCTTCTCTTCAGGGCCCCTCCCCCTTTTCCTTGACGAGTCCTCATCCCTGTGTTACTCTTGTTGTTAGCTTCGTCTGCACGTCTGGATGAAGCTTAAGCTCCTCTTCTGTGATGCGGAGCACTGACCCGCAAACTGGTTCCTCCATTACACCAGACTATAATCTCTCTCTCTCTCTCTCTCTCTCTCTCTCTATATATATATATATATATATATATATATATATCTGTCTGCCTGTCTGTCTGTCTGTCTGTCTACTTGTCTGTGTCCCTTTCATTCTCTCTCTGTCTCTGTCTCCCTCTCCCTCCCCCTCCCCCCTCTCTTTCTATCTTTTTCTTTCTCTGAGTATGTCTGTCTCTTTCTTTCTCTCTCACACTTAAATAAATGCGTATATACAAGCTCACACGCAAATCCACAAACATGCACGCACACACATGCACGCACGCACGCACGCACGCACGCACGCACGCAAAACATACATTATTCCTGTTTTATCCCTGAAAAATGAACCGTATTCTTAATTTTTTTAGTATTTTTGTACAAAATATTATCTTTTTATAGTTATAATTAAATTATAATAAACGAGTTCTCGAACACCATAATTTAATTTCTCATAGCTTTATTGTAATTAACACTCCATTTATACCTACGTATGCATTTATAGTCTTTTATAATTATTTAGAAATTTAGGGAAAAGGCTTTGCCGATCATTAAAAAGATATTGCTCCTATATATTACCTTCAATTATGTTTTTGATTGAGTAATTTGCATAAAGCTAATTCATTCTTAATTCTCATATCCAGTACTATAAAAGAATGTTGGCATATTTGATGCACAGTATAGAATTAAGTTTTATTTATATTATTTTTAAGCGAATGCTACAAGTCTACATTTTATTGCTATCGTATTTCTCTTATTGAATTATGAATTAATTTTTTTATTAATTTTCAGGACATGTCAATAATATTTTCATATGAAAAGCTATGAAATAGTACAAAAATATATCAAATTTCTAAATTTATTATATAAATGAGAAATTTAACCTAGGCTGAAAACATTTTTTATTACATATTAACGTGTTAAAAAAAAAAATTGATTACAACTAAACTTTTATTTTAAATTACTTCCTCATAACTTTCTAATGATATTTTTCATACAATATTATATTTCTAAAATAATAAAGCACATTGGTGCAATATTATTTTTAGTGTATTAACGAGCTTTTACTACATATGCAATAAAGATAAAATTAAGTAATTTAACAAAATTACTCTGGAAATGTTTTAAATATTGTAATTTGTTATATTAACTAAGTAAATTAATTTAAAAATATTTTAATATGCAGTCATATACGACAATAAACTAAAATATTTATTTTTATTTTATATTAATTTTTCAAATCAAATAGTTTTAGGAGTTATCGATTTAAATTTTTATATTAGTTCTTATCAAAGCTATTTAATATACACAGACATATTTATTATATAGTAATAAAATAATACGTATAAAATATTAAATTATTCTATGAAATAATCATATTGAAGATGGCTACATTTATTTTTAAAAGCGAAAATAACGAAGAAATACACTTATCATTTAATATGATATAATTGATGATACGCCCAATTATAAAAATATCTACTATTTATCATTTCTTGGATTAAATGTTTGGGATAAGCAATTTCGTAAAACGATGTTTTAATTGAATAATATATTTTTATTTTTTATAATTTATTACTGTATGAGTAACCAAATTAGAAAATTTAAATTTATTATATGAATGAATGTCGCATGAACTGTATCTATTAGTTATGGAAATTGTGCAAAAACATATTATTATGAAGTAGTTGCTAAACTTGAAAACTATATTTAATGGACTAATAAATGTAATATCAAGAATACTTGATAAATGCAAAAATATGTTTTTGCAATAGTTTCTATACTATATAATAACAATTACTCTTAGATTTTATATTAAAATCATGTTTTGTTTACACACTCAACTAAATTTGAGTATTATAAAATATTAACGAAGCACAAAATTTTAGTTGAGGGTTCTTATATTTAATTTCAATATTTTATACACAAGTACTACATATGATTAAAATTTTTGTTAAATGAATGCATGTACAATTTAATTTTCTAACTGTCTTACATTATTTTATGTCCGTTAATAAAAACAGTATTTTAATTTATGAAAAGAAGTTTTATAGATATCTATGTTATTATCGTACCATTTACGTTAAATCACAAAATGGATACTTTTATTAAACTAAATTAATTTATTATTATAAGTTATAAATTACATTTAATGTGTAATATTTATTTATTGATTATTAATAAATTAATTTTTGTACTATAAATAATTTTAAACATACCCCTTTCATACAAATTTTTAAGACTTTCTAATAAAATCATTTTTTCGAAACACAAGAATTATATTTTGTTTTTCAGTTTTCAACTTTTCATAAAATTACTTATACAACAAACTAAATAGTACATACAGTCATAAGTTTAATTTCAGCGTATTCGTATATACATATACAGTTTTTATATATTCGCCAAAAATGTATGAAATAAAATTTATAAATAATAAAAATAATCTATATACTGCATTTTGAAGATATAATTTAGAAATTAAAGTTTTTCATATAGTTATACGGTTTAAATGGTACAATGTCACGTATATATAATGTTAATGTATATAACAATTTTCAAAAAATTATCGTTTGAATTAGACACAGTAAAATAGTGGTGTATAATATTCATGCTAATTTAACAGTATGAGTAAGATAGTATTAGTAAAATGATAGAATGCATGAGAACGAAAGGGGAATAGCTTTGAGAATTACGATGAAAAAAATTCTAACTCATATAAGTGGCAAAAAATAAAGTTAAAAATTATTTTTAAGTAGGAACATAATTGATTAATGTTTATTTCTTATACGAACTATATGTGTAAGTTAATAATTAAATTTCATCCAGAGTTATGAACATGTTATAGAAATTATTACATTGATATTCAATAAATAAATTGATTCAACTTTGTTACTCATAATTAATAATTTGAGTATATATTAACATTTTCAATCGCTATTCCTTACTATAAATGTACTGATATCAACGCTTAAGAATTTAGACTTTTTACGATGTAATCTCTCAATAGACTAACGAATGCAATGAGATCTGACCGCTAGTACATTAGATAACTTTTATTTTTCTATTTTTAATTAAAAATATGTACTATTCAGTCTGCAGCAGTAGTTTAAGTTACTCTTGACAAAGTTCTTAAGTCATAAAATATGTAAAAAGTGTTTTGACATATTTGAAAATTATCAGTTGTATCTTTCCAATCAGAATTCAAAAATGTTAAAAAATTGAATACCAAGAATCGTAAAAACTTTTATAAGAAAATTCTTCTTAGGTACACTAGAAGCTAACTCAACAATTTACAGTAGCTTAACAAGCAATTTGCAATCGCTTGCATACGTTGGAAAAAATCAAAAGGTTGGCCGTTAGTTTCCGTGATTATGTTGCACGACATGTTATGGTCACATATGGCAAAAGTGACCGAGAAAGTCTAATGTTCCTTGAATTTAAAAGCTATGCAAATTATCATATATTTCAATCAATTTAACAACAAGTATTCGATACATATTTCAAATTGACTAAAGATACTGAAAAATTTATTATTTATTCTATCTTTTTAAAGTAGTTTATTTAATTTAAGAATTGATTCTTACCAATTATTATATACGTAAATAATATAATAATATTTCCAATTAAAATTTCGAAAATACAGTTATCGCTGGGGTTCGTGGATAACAATTTAATTTTTTGATTATAGTACAATAAAATATATAATATTTCTAATATTGTATTATACATAAATACAATTTATTTCTAAATATTTTGTATTTTGAGCAAGTTTT